GCCTCACTTTCTTACAACAACAAGACTTGAGTCACACAAGTCTTTAAGAACAACACTCAAATGAAATTGAGTTTACAACACAAGAATGAAAGCTCACACAATTGAGCAAAGTAGTGTTGAAAGATTTAAGCTCTATGGATGACAACTTCTATAGCACTCAAAAAAATATTTCTAACTCTCAAAAATAATATTTTGATGATGAAAATGAAGCAAAGTATGAATAGCTCAGGGAAATATGTTGGAGTGCAAGAGGTGTGTAGAAATGAAGGAGAATGAGGGATTAAATAGGCTGAGGAAAATAAATCCGTTGAAGAGAGCTGATGATATGCACCAGATAATATTAATCGATTAATATGGATAATTAAATCGATTACGGTACACATAGGCGAGAATGCCTGAAAACAAAATTGGAATTAATCGATTAAACTGAAACGAAAAATCGATTAGTTTGCTCTGCCCAAACTAATCGATTAAATGAAGGGAATTAATCGATTATTGGGCGATTCTGGGAATCCAACTAGAAGTCTATTAATCGATTAAAAAGGAAGAGAAAAATCGATTAAATTCAAAATACCGTGCAAACATAAAGGGCCCAAGCCTATTTGCGATTGAAGCCTTTGGCTTCATACGATTGTTTGAGACAACGGGAATCAATGCACGATCATTGATAACCCTTATTCAATGAATTTGAATAGGGGAGAAAAAGAGAGTCCAAAAATTATTTTGTGTGTCAAACAATACACGAAAAAATATTTAAAGTATATTTTCTCACCAAAGAAAATTGTGTAACTTTAAGAAAATGTTTAAAGAAGTTTTGACACACTTATTTTGAGATTGACTCACTAAAATATTTTAGACAGAGAAAAAATGATTTTTCAACTGACTCAAAAATAATTTTTATCCCTCAGAAATTCAATTTTTTTGTGCAAAAGATATTGTCATCCTTACAAAAATCCTAGACTCAATAAAAATTAAAAAGTCTTCGGAGTCTTCACATCACTTAAAAAAATCTGCGTAGGGGTGATCGTCAATTTTCATCGCCGTAAACTTCTTGATACGCCTCTTTTCTTTTCTCGGTACGAAAAGTAAATTTTCGATCATCGTTTGGATTTCATCATCCTGTTTGTCATTTATCAAAACAAAAAATATTCCAGAGAAAATAATAAAGGGGTTTGAACTCATGTCCAACAATTTCCCCCTTTTTGATAATGACAAACATAGTTGAGAAAAAGCAAAGAAAAGAATACTTCCCTTAAATGATTCCCCCTGCAATGTTAGAGAAGCGCAGTAAAAATAATTATCGGAGTAATAAGCGGAAAAAATCTCAACTATCCTTCCTTCCCCCTTTTGGCATTATCAACCGATAACTTTCCCCCTTAAACAATGCCGGGATTTTGAAGGATAAGAATGGCAAGAGTTTTCTTTAAAAAGGAATTTGTAAAACGCCACAAAGGGTCAATATGTTCTAAACAAGAACAAAATTGCCAAACTAACAATGATATTAATACATAAGCAGTTAATATCAACTAGCAACATCATCATCCACCAAAAGAGTTAAAACAAATAACAATGTATCATAATCAATCAAGAGAAAATAACAGTCAAAGAGAGTTCGCCGGACGAGCTCCTCCGCCAAAGCTGTGACGCGGGCCACGGTAGGAGTGAGATTTCTCAAGACGAGTCATCCTCTCGTTGAGCTGGCGAACGTCATCTCGGATGTACGTGAGAGTTTCGAAGATCTTCTTCACCCAAGAAGGTTCCGGTGCTTCTTCTCTCGGACGAGTCCTCCGCTGACGAGTGACGCGCTCCGTGGCTCGACTACCTCCGGCTTGAGATGACTCAGCTTGATTCTCGTTTTGGCTTTCTTCTTCTTTTTCGGCGACGACCAAGTCCAGATTTGGTGCAGCATCTCCCTCCTCTCGATACACGATCCGGGAAAACTTGGCTTCAGTGATGAAACAAGTCTTCTTAACCGGCACCTGAGTGTCCCGAGTAAAGTCTATTTTGCAATGTGCAAGGATATGCATAACGGGGATGGCAAACCGGAGATGGGAAAAATGAGTGCCATCGCTAAGGGCAACGATAAAGAAGTGAACCCAATCAAATTTGACATCGTTCAACAGGACGTGAAATAAACGAATATCGTCCTTGTTGACGACGCCATGGTTCGAATCACGGGGCAACAAAACATATGAAAAAATGTATTGTTGGACACGTTGAATTAAAGTGAGATTAACTACACTCGGGTTGCTAGAGTTTCTAAACTTGAGGTCACGATGATCCAACCCGAGTTTTCGCCAAATTGCCTCATCTTGGAATGTTTCATCCAAGTTTTCGGTAATTTTGCCGCGACGAAGACCAAACAACGAAGTCAAACCGGCACCGTCAATGAAAACGGTTTTGCCGTCAACATAGGAAATGAGAGATGGCGAACCTCCCTTAGTTGTACGAAGATTTGCATAAAATTGACGTATAAGATTTGGACAAAAGAATTCATACGTCAAATGGATGAAACGAAGCAATCCTTGTTGAAAGAACATAGACTTACTCGGGGCATAGGTCGCCGATTTGAAGAGGTCCTTGTTCACGATCTTGGGAGCGACGATCTCCTTCGTGAGGAAGATGTTGTGGAACCTCTCGACGGAAGCCCCGGTGCTGAAGGCGAGACCCGTTTGAATGTGAATGTACTTGCTCCCTTCACGACGCCATGGCCTCTCATTCTCCTCTGCCGCCGTTTCTTGACCCGAGTAAGCGTTCTTACACCTTGGCATTCTTCCTTTTTGAAATTGATGAAATTTGACAAAAAAAGGAAGAAATTTGAGAATTTTATGATGAAGATTGAGAAAAAAATTGAGAGGGGAAGAGGCTAGGGTTTCTGTGATTCGAAAAGAGGGAATGGCGAAGAAGACGAAGACTGGGTGTGATATAAGGCAAAAATCGACTATTAATCGATTAATAACAAGTATTTAATCGATTAGGGAATACAACCGAGGCTAATCGATTAAGTTAAGTTTATTAATCGATTAGAAGAAGCAGAGTCAAAACGTTTCTTTCAAGATATTAATCGATTAATTATAGAAGGTTAATCGATTAATATGAACAGATGAGCCTGATCGATTAATTGAACAAAATTAATCGATTAAAAGGTGAATCAGCGCTTAAGACGTTTTGCATATTAATCGATTAAACATAAACGATTAATCGATTAAGAGAGACAGAGGCGACTAATCAATTTTTCTTTGAGGAATAATCGATTAAAATTTGTTTGAGAGAAAAAAAATATCAAGTCCAATTAGGTTGAATACCAAGGGAAGAGATACCTATAACAAAAGCCCTGCAAAAAGAGTTATTGCGCCTCCGACGCTCAAATTAGTACCATCAATAAAAAGAATAAATTAGTTCATAGAGATATCCAAAATGCCAAGTTCATTCCGAATGTGAAAGAAACTCTCCCTACTAAGGGGTTTCGTGAAAATGTCGGCCAATTGATGTTTCGTTTCAACAAACTCAATTGTGACATCTCCCTTTTGGACGTGATCTCGTATGAAGTG